TCACACTTTTCTAAAGGAAGTAGTTTTATTTAAGGAAGTTTTGGCACGCTGTAACAGCATTGAAGCCCAATTATTGCACCAATAAATTCATGATATAACAAAATAACTAGAAGTCCTCTTGTGATGATATTTTTTGTCAGTTTTATTTAATCATTAAGCCTGTTCTGGTATTGTTTTATTTTATTTTCTTTTATTATTTTATTTTTTTCCATAACTTAATTTTCTGATCAGTTTTTATGTTAAACTGTATATCCTTGTATGTGAATTAGGCTGTGCCTCGTTATGTTGTATTTTTGAATTCATAATAAAAAAATTATACATAATAAACATCTCATATTACGAGACAGATAAATTGCAAGTCGTGATTTCTTTTTCTTTTACTCTGGCAGAAATGGGTTTTCAAAATTGTAACCTTTTTTATCCTAAAGAAAATAAAACTGCTTTATTTGATTTAACAATGTTAAAATTCTTTCAAACCCTAAAACAGCCTAAATCACAGGATTAATTTACACATCAGAAAATGTAACAAAACAAAGATTATTTAAACTCTTCTAGACTTTAATTAGTTCTTATATAAATAAATTTAAGTAGAATATACAGCGTATAAAATAAACAAAACTCTCCAGACAGACAGAACTACAAATTTGTTAAATGAACTACAAATAGTAAATGAATGACGTCATAATAAAACGACAGGGCAAGCACATGAACCGGTAACATTTGATTTTAGATTAGTAAAACCAATTATATACGTACCCTTTTAAGTAATAAACTAAATTAACAAGCCACAATCAGCAGGATTACACAGGGAGTAAACAAAATGTTTTTAGAATAATTATAATTGCATCAGCCGAAGTGAAAGGACCCCCGCGTTTATTTCAAATGGTTGCGTTTGTCGTTTGTGACGGCAAATAAATTCAAAACCGAAGTATTATTTTAAATGAGAAGGTTTCATGTTGATCTTGTTATAGATGAACCGTAATTAATTAAACAAGTTAATTAAAAATAATTTTTAGTGAAGCTCTTGACCACTGATCAGGCATTCGCCGCGGCTGCCTCTTTCATTCCCTTTTCATTCAAGATGGCGGGTGATGAGTCTGGAACAACGCTCGGTCAGCCTCATCTGGCAAAACAAGACCTTAGTTCTCTGGTGAGTGTCCGTTGGACCGCTTTTATGCTTTAATAGTTTCATATTTCAGGCTGTCAGGTTCTTGTTCGGTTGAAAAGGAGCCCTGAAAAGGTGGAAAACGTTCAGGTGATCCGCAGCGCGGAGCTTCGACGCCACCACCCGGCACATGATGACAGCAGGCCCGGCAGGCTGCAGAGTTTAAAACCTGCTACAGATTTTAACAGACAGAGAATTAACATGGTTTTAATTAAAACATTTCTCACAGACATAATATTAGATTTTTGTTTTGAGGTCGGTCAGTTTGTGACTCTTTGACTCAAACATTAGCGACAACATTTAACTGTCAAATCAGCTTCGTTTGGCAGGAGTTTGAATTCAGCAACATCTTTTTTTATAACGTTAAAGATAATTTAAAATATGTTTTAACTTGTTATTTACACCATGTAGCTTTGTGCAGAAGTCCTGGGCCACCTCTCATTTGTAATATACATTATGTACATTTTAGACAAGTCCTATTCAGTTGCACATCGTTTGGATCAAGTACATTATTTCTATTTATTAACGGCACAGTATATTTTTACCCTCTATTGCACAATAAAGGCTATTTCTATTCTATTCTAACCTGGCTGTAACTTCAAGCTAAATATATCTGAATAAATGGTGATTAAAGARAACCAATCAGAGTATATAAAGAGGTCATTCTGGCTCTGTGGACTCATTTCTGTTAAACACACAGAATGAGCCTGTTAGGGTCATGTCACTTTTCAGAATTATGTTTTGTATAGTGGTATTAATTTATATTTTCAGATCTTCCAAGGTGCCAATTATGGAACTCT